ATCTGAGAAATAGACAAAACCTAAATGTCCAATTCTGGGACTTGATCAAGTAAATTGTGGTGTTCATATATAAAAGAATGTTAGTTAGCTCTTACAGCTTAAGTTTATTTAATTTCACAGAGAAATGTTTGTCCATCATTGAGGGAAAGGGCAGGAGATAATTGAAAAAAGCTCTAGGAGAAAGACATTTCACTGCTCTCTCCCTAGTCTTAACACAAACCCTTTTTCTACTTATTTCCCACTCTAGGCCTGTCAACCCCCTCTAGCCTAAAAGGGATTTTGAGAATGATCTGATGGTTTTCAAAGTAATTGAATCATAGGCAAATAATATCCTGCATGGCCATCACCAGAGAAAGTCAAAACCTGTCACTCACCAGCCACCTTGAGATGCAGGAGGGCTATGGTGGAATTCCCATCATCCTTGAAAAGGCATCGGTACTCCCCGTCATCAGAGGCCCTGATGCCATGTATCTTTACAGCAAAGTGCCCCGTGGAGATATCGTTCTTCACCAATGTCACCCTCCCACGGTACTGGGGCATCTGCTCTCCCTCCTGCTCTTGCCCGTCCCGGAGCACTAACACAGCCTGCGAGTCCTCCTTCCGGAGCCACCTCAGCTCCAGGTGCTTTGCAGTCACATTCGTGGGCAGGTGACAGGGCAGCTCAGCATCTTCACCCACCATGGCCAGGATGGGCTCCGTGGGCCCAGTCACGTTAAAGTGAGCTGCCAAAAATGAGCAGGATTACACAAACTGTGGAGGTGAGAATTGGGGACTGATTTGCACCAGACTCCCACCAAAGCAGGGAGTCCTCTGGGCTGTGTCTCTTACTCCTTTGACAGCCTGAGGGACTGTCATCTCGATCCCATTGGAGGTTCCTGGAGAGAACCATATGGGATTACTTACATTTATTGGGAGCTTTCAATCCTATAGGGATGAGGCGGGTGGAGAGAGAGAAAGAGACCTACCTGAGTCCAGGTTGGGCAGTTGCAAAAGAATGAGGATGTACAGACATCTGGGGAGGTAGGAGTTTGGGAAAACTTCCATCTCCTATCTTTCTGGAGCAGCAAGATGGGTCTCAGGAGTTTTACCCTAGGAGGTGAATAGATAGGAGGTAACTACTGGCTTTGTAGATCCTCTTCCTTCCAAAGTATACTCTACAGTTTTTTCCAACTTGGAAAGCTGGTCATTTCCATCTGAAGCCCCCTCTATACCTCCTCTTCAGTGGGGATTTTCAATCTATACTTCATCTGCATTTACTTACTACTTGAAATTTGTTCAAGCATGTATAAAATCATAAACTGGGTCCTAAACCCCAGACTTAGGAGAAAGAAGTTGTAAGGCAATGTATCCATTAGTGTTCTGCATATCAGTGAACAAATTCTGGAATGGCTGCACTAAAAAAAGTCATGTTCGTGTATAATAATTTGGTATTTGCTTTTAGCAATGATAATAAAGACAAGAGTGTGAAGGCTGAAATGGAAACCAAGAGAATTACATGGAGGAGAAAAGAGAAAAAGGAAAGAGGAGATAGAACAAGAGGGGAGAGCTAAAAAAAAATAGAGGGCCTAGTACCAGGGAGGAAGAAGTGGGAGGGAGAGAACTGTGCCCTCCTGGCTGCTCACTCTGTCAGGAGGCTGAGAGTAATCATACATTGACCTGGATGATCTTGGAGGAAAAGGCTCAAGGATCCACTGCCACCAAGTGAGAAAGCTGGGTGTGGCCCCAGGGGCATAAGCTAAAAGAAGGAGAAGGAAAGGGAAAGTGATCTCCAGAAAGTCTGCCTCCAGGTGGCCTAGTGTATTTAACTTAAAAAAAAAAAAAAAAAAAAAGGAAGGAAAGTAGGGAGAAATGGCAAACTGGATCTATGGTCTTGAGCTCAGAGATTGGAATATGTATTGATGAGCTAGACTAAGTGAGAGGGGGCAGAAAGGAAAAGGAGGAGGGTCAAGCAGATATGAAGGCTTCAACCAATTAATTGACCTGTATGAGCCTTATTTCTTTTATCACTAACTTGGTAGTAATGTTTATTGTATCTTCCTTGAAGAGATGTTGAGAGAATTAACTGTGATGAAGCAGATAAAGTGCTTAGTACATGGTAGATGCTCAGTAGAGGGCAAGTTGTTCTAATATTATTTCTGTGGATTAAAAAATAAAAGAGCAGAGGACAAGTAATAGTAGCCTCTGGCTTACCACTAGTAGTCCTTCTTTTTTATTGGAGTGTTCACTGTAGCTGCTGTGTCTGTTGGCACAACTCCATTAAAGGCCAATCTTAAAGGCAGGCTGTGAATGTGCCATCTCATGAAGTGTGATTCAGTTTATAGGGACCCAAAGTTGCTTCCCTGCCAAGTCATGTCTCTCAAAGCAATTCATGGAGCCTGCAAGTTCTTATTTTGAACTAAACTGCTTATTGTTATTAAAAAAATACAAAGAAATATTTTTATGAAATGGAAATCACCCTTAGCCTACCAATTAATGATTGTTTCATTCAATTCACATTTTGACATATTTCCTTCTAGTGTTTATTTTATGCTTATGTACATCATAAAAACAACCAATCAGCTGGGTTTTTGTATAACTCAATACATTGTTAATAGTTGCATAACTGCCAAAATCATCGGACATTTTTTTTTTTTTTTTTTTTGTAGTTGTTGGCCAGGGCTGGGTTTGAACCCACCACCTTTGGCATATGGGGCTGACGCCCTACTCCTCTGAGCTTTGGTTGTCACATGGTACAGTGCCTGCCTCTATTTAACAGAGAATCTGTGATTCTTCTGAATCTCAATTCAGATTGAGAAAAATAATTGAGCAAATTCCCTCATCCCTAATCACATGCAGCTCCTCCCTGCCATCTTTTGGCTTGTCTCAATTAATGTCTCTTCTGCCCCAGATAGCCCTCAAATTTCCTCAAATCTCCCATTTGCAAGAGTACCTGACAGCTCACTCCCAACTATAGGCACAGACTACCTTTTCCAGGCCACACCCTCTGGGCTATCTAGCAAGTCTCCAATTATATAGTCTTCAACTATATATATGTGTACACTTATCTCTCATTTTATTATTTGAAAATGGAAGTAACTTATTTTCCTGAAAATACATTGTTGATGGAAAAGAAGCCATACTCTGTAAAATAATTTTTTTTTTTTGAGACAGAGTCTCACTTTTTCACCCTTGGTAGAGTGTCATGGCATCATAGCTCATAGCAACCTCAAAGTCTTGGGCTCAAGTGATTCTCTTGCCTCAGCCTCCTGAGTAGTTTGGACTACAGGCACCCATCAGGATGTCCGGCTATTTTTAGAGATGAGGTTTCACTCTGGCTCAGGCTGGTCTCAAATCTGTGAACTCAGTCAAGCCACACCCCCTCGCCCCTGCCTCCCAGAGTGCTAAGATTATAGGTATGAGCCACCACACCCGGTCCATACTCTGTGAAATAATTTAAGGAGGTTTATTCTGAGCCAAATATGAGGACCATGACCCAGAGCTACACCTATGAAGCCTTGAGTAAGCAGACTCATGGTAGTGAGTTACAGTTTGGTTTTATACATTTCAGGGAGACAGGAATGACAGATAAAGTCATAAATTAATACATGGAAGGTATATATGTATTGGTTTGGTCCCAAAAGGGGGACCATCTTAAAGTGGGGTGGTAGAGTACAGGTTATAGGTGAGTTTAAGGTTTCTTTAGCTGACAATTGGCTGAAATAGTTAAGCTTTATCTAATGGACAAAGAATTGTTGCAAAGGAATGCTGAGTTAAGATAAGGGCTTTGCTAATCAGAGACAAACTATAGGACTCTACCCACACCCAAATGGTTTGTTACTATTGAGGACACATATCTGCATGGCTTTAGGTCTGTTAATGAGTCACAGAGGAGTGACTCTAAAGAGTCACTCTCTAGGTGACAGACAGAGTCAAACAGACAGAGTTGTTAACCATGAGAAAGGAGCCATCAGACATGCCTCATCATGCCCCCTCCCCTTCTTAGAGATGTCCTTTGTGACTCACTGACAGACCTATAGCCATGCAAGATCTACCTGCAGGTCCACAATATACACCCAGGGAAGATCCAAACTGAAAAGAAATGGTTTGAGGGAAAGAAGAACAAAAGGTATTTAGAACTCTAGCTATTGCATGACAGCCACAGTTCTGATTGCATTAAAGTCTAAATTACCTTTTTTCTTTCTTTCTTTCTTTCTTTCTTTTTTTATTGAGACAGACTCTCACTTTGTTGCCCTTGGTAGAGTTCTGTGACATCATAGCTCATGGCAATCTCAAACTCTTGGGCTCAAGCAATTCTCTTGGCTCAGCTTTCCTCATAGCTGGGACAACAGGCACCTGCCACAGTGCTTGGTTATGTGTTTTAGCAAGCCCTCGGCCGGGTTCAAACTTACCAGCCTCAGTGCATGTGGTGGGCTCCCTAACCCCTGAGATACAGGAGACCAGCTTACTTTTTTTTTCTTTTGAGACAGAGTCTCACTCTGCCACCCAGGCTAGTGTGGTATAGCATCACATCATAGCTCTTACTGCAACTCAAAACTCCTGGACTCAAGTGATCCTTCTGCCTCAGCTTTCCTAATAGCTGAGAGTGCATGCCACCATGTCCAACTAATTTTTCTAGTTTTGGTAGAGACAAGGACCTTACTCTTGCTCAGGCTGGTCTGGATCTCCTGACCTGAAGCAAACCTTCAGCCTCAGCCTCTGAGAGTGCTAGGCTTACAGGCATGAGCCACCACGCCTGGCCAGCATCTGAGTCATTATGATAGAAACCAAATAATCAGTCTTAGACAATGAAAGGCAGGATCTCTGAATTTTTCATGGCTTGGAGAATGATGTTTCTAGATGCCTCTGTCTCTCACCGCTCCTGTTTGGGAGATGCCTTGTGAGTGGGGCTGCTCTTAGGAAGTTCTTGCCGTTCTTAGGGCCACTGGAGACTAGAAACATAGACTTGCTCCTCTTAGACATGAAATCATCTGGACTGAGGAATATGCTTGCTATGTGAATATAATGATAAAATTTCAGGATTTTAGTTTTTATCCTCCTGTTTTTCAGTACATTCTGTTCACGTTTCTCAATATATTTTGCTGATGCGACCACTTGCTCTTTTTAATTGTAGATTTTATTCTGTCAAAGTAATAGTATAGTTTTTTTTATAAACAAAATAGGACAAAGAGCTTTTAAGAAAAGTGTCAGCTTCACTTTCCAACCTATCCCTCCCCGTTCCCCAGAAACAGCTTCTTTAAATTCTTTTTCTACTTTGGCGGTGCCTGTAGCTCAGTGGGTAGGGCGCCAGCCATATACGCCCAGGCTAATGGGTTGGGACCTGGCCTGGGCCTGCTAAACAACAATGACAACTGCAACAAAAAAATAGCCGGGCATTGTGGCAGACGCCTGTAGTCCCAGCTACTTGGGAGGCTGAGGCAAGAGAATCTCCTAAGCCCAAGAGTTTGAGGTTGCTGTGAGCTGTGATGCCATAGCACTCTATCAATGGTGACATAGAGAGACTCTCTCTCTCTCAAAAAAAAAATTATTTTACTACTTAGTTTTTCTTTGTTTCTGTTTTGTTTTGGAAACAAGGTCTCACTTTGTTGCCCAGGCTGGTTTCAGATCTCAAATTTGGCACTGGATTTCACCTTTCAAATCCTAACTATCCAGTGGGTGAAATAGCAGTTCCTGAAACTGACACAGAGTGGCATAATAATTGCTCAGAAGAGAAGCAGGAGAACACTTTCTAGTATGCATTCAGGCTGGCCTTAGGGCTACCAGGCAAAAGGAGGTCAACTATTCCAAGGTCTCCACCTACAACCCTGAGGCCTGAGGAAAACCCTGTATCTTTCCTAGATCAGCTCCATGAGGCAATAGAGAAGCATACCACTCTTGATCTTAACTCATGAGGGACAGGTGATATTTAGACAAGTTCTTGACCCAAGCAGCAGCAGATATTAGGAAAAAGCTCCAGAAGCTTGTCCACGACCCTATCATCTCCCTGGACACAGTGGCTGTCACTCATTTGGATTTTTATAACAGAACTTCTGAGCTACAGCCTTAGGCTTGGGAGAAGGAGCAGAAGTAGCAAGCTAGA